TCGGAAAAATGACCACTGATGGTTCGAAATTATTTGGATTATACGTTGTTTGAACAAAACGTTGCGGAAACAATTCCTGGAGGCTGCACGATTGTACGTTTGCACCTTTGAGTGGTTTGAACAGAAAAGAATGAGGGTCAGTCTTCTGCAGCGATATCAGAGCGGGAGAGAGAGACGTAAATTTTTTTTTTTTTGACATTCCTCTTCTCTTCTAGTCTTACGTTGCTTTGCGTACTTGCAAGCTCTACTCTTCACGACATTTCCCACAACTCCCAACATTCCTATGTAAATTCATAACTACATTTTACATTCTACATCCCTGCAAAACTGTTCACTACACAAAGGAGTTCGCTCGGGTCTCCAATTTAATGGATGACTAAATCTTTGAGTATATAAAAAGCTAATTCATATTTTTAGTTTTTAATACTGCATTTAATAAGCCGCTTGTATTCGTTATTTAAGTTTCAAGTGTAAATAATGGTATATAATAATTGAATTTTATTTTCTCATTTTAAATGAAATTAGTTGATTGAAAATTTTATAAATTTATGAATTTACTATAAGACCCGCGCGCTTCGCTGCACGCCCCCGCCCCCCTGAATGCATTTAATGTTTAGGAATTTATCGAAATTAAAAAATGATAATTATCAAAAAATTAATAATTATAATCAAAAGCAACAAATATACTTTCACAAATTGCAATTTTTTCAGAAAACAATTTTCATACAAAAAGGTATAAAACCAAATCTATCATAAAATGTTGTGTTCTATAGAATGACACAAAATGAAATGAAATAGGCGTTCAACCACACATTTTTAGACCAAATTTTAGATATTTTTTTGATTAATTTTTGATTTTTGAGGAACCTATTTATAGAAAAGTGAAAACTTTTAAATATAAACAATACTCTGGCTATCAATTTGGTGCACGCGTTGCGGAGATAGCCGCTGACACACAGTTTTTTTTACAAATTTATGGAATAGATTATATTTTTATTTCATTCATTTACGAGAAAAAAAGCAATGGAGCATATTTTCATGCACCACAATAGCAGAGAATGAGAGCAACGTCCATATGTTGCATTTAAAATATAACCAAAATATTTGAAAACCGCGCTCTATAAATAACTTTTGTCCATTCTGCGTGTGCTGTGTACATTTTATTTTTAATATTGAACGGTTTATATTTTTATAACAGAGTAGTTTGGGGGAAAAGAAGATAAAATCTTTAAGCTTAAAACAATCGAGTTAAATAATAAAAAAAAGCACAAGAAAAGTTTTAAAGTTCTTCAAACTATTCGATTTTTTTGTTTTGCCTTTAATGCGATTCTAAATGGTACAGAAAGACAAAAAAATAATTAAGCTCATTTATTAGATTTGAATTTCAGATGTTGGGTATCCTGCACTGTGAATTATCCCATTTATCGATAGGTATTATTAATATCATTTTGCTTAAAAGCTCAAAGAAAATCTGTGTCTGATTTGGTGAACATTACGGAAAGGTCTGATTGGAAGGAGTCATTTCTCCTAGATTTGATTTGTAATCTATAGTGAATAATTCGTGTAGCTATGATAGGCTTAATGAGTGTAAATTTAATTAATTGGACTTTTAGGTGGAGCACACTTAAATCGATTAGGAATAAATGTTCACATATTTGTATTGGCATAGTTTGTACATTATTTTGCCAGTAAAGTCAGAGCAGAATAAATATGAGACTTTGTATTCTGCATAATAAAAAACTGACAAAGAGAGAGGAGAGGAAAATGTAAATAAACTTTGACACTGAAGTTTGTATATCCTTTAAAAAAAACGTTTCTGAGTGCCACTTCTTTACCTATATGAATTATGAAAAGTATATGTATCTTTGAATCTTGTCTATAATCTGCAACGACGTCCTAAGGCCTTCGTATCAGATTCCCCGCTTTCTAATCACTTCTTAGAGTACAATTTCCAAATCCAGCAATAAAGAAGATGACGGAGCAAAGAGTTTCAATATGCGTGGCTGACATAATAATGTCTGTCATTTCCGGGACTTGTGAACTCAACGAAGGCAATGTAACTTAAACAGCATGTCAAACATATATATCAACATCTTATCTACATGCGAGTATAAATGTACGTACATTGTACATATAGACATTTCGTCGAAAAAGATGCAATAGAAAACGGAAGCTAACACATGAAATATAAAAAAAAAGGAGAAAAATAAGTATAAATCTGAAAAAAATTGTTGTCGGATATTGTAACAGGCAGATATACAAACAGACAGATTGATTGTTAATATTTGTTGCCAGACAACAGAACATTTCATTCGACTGAACTTCAGAGGAGCGGAAAAGCAAAGGATTGTTTCTCAGACTTCTTCAAATTGATGATGGATTACAATGCAAACAGAGTACTCAAAATGAGGCTAGACATATTAAAGAAACAACTCTTGAAAACCATGACAGAAATGGTGACTCTCATTCAGGGACCAGGATAGTCTATCCCCACAGCTGATGTATTGTATTGGCAGCTCTTTTTGAAAGTTTTGCACGTCTCCTCCGCAAACAACTGTGGGCGGCATTTCCTGTGACATTCATCTGAATGGAAATGTGCCGTTGAATATCACACAGCAAATGTCCTTGACTCTCACTTTTCCAGCCAACACAATGCCGTCAAAGGGTTCCAGTATCATTCCTCGCACTTCCCCATTTCCAAGAATACGAAAAATTGTTATGGCCAGTCACAGTTCGGCCTGCCTTAAACTGTCATTGGATCCAAAGAGTTTGGTGTGTGACGCTGCCATCTGCACTGATTAAATTAAAAGAAAGAAAAGTCACAAAGGTTGAGATGATTTCTGGAGACTTGACAGCTGTCGGTCGATTTAAGTTGAGAACTTTTTGGGAAAACTTTAACTTTGCCAAAGGGGAATCAATTTTACATAAGATGTCAGGTCAGGAGTGTTTGACCACTTGACTCACATTTGGCACGTGCTATTGCCGCACTAAGCCAAGCCCAGATTTCAAATGGGTTTCGTGGCTGAGTATAAAAGTAAAATTGAATTTTTATTTATTTTCGGACCTGGCAGAGGGACCCCGACCCATCTATCCAGCTGTTTCGTCAACACAGACACAAAATATTTAGTGACAAGCTCAGCACAAACATAAAAGTTGGTATAGGGGGCCGAATCCATCCTGATATACCTACAAGCAACGGACCGAGAGTGTGTTAACACAATCAGCATAATAACCGTGGGTCTGAAGATAACAGATGTTGCAAAAAAATGTAAAATGTACAATTTTTTAAAACTGTACATAAATCATAAGCTCAAAAATTTATATACTGACTGAGTACGGGTATAAGTAGAATCGCGTCCCCAGAAGCGACTCACACGTTCCTTTTCGTTTTATATAAAAACCTTTTTGAAAAACTTCTTCCTATGAGCTCACAAAAAATGGAAAATAAGCTCTCTGTAAAAACTCAGAAGATCTCCAAATAAATTTTAAAATTGACAACAAACATTATCATGCAATTATTTGAATTGTCCCTGCAATTTTTGCCGACCTCAGAAAATGTATTCAAACTTAATTGACTAGACAATTTTGTCAAGGAACACATAAACTGTCAGAGAAACTTTCGAATTCTCCGAGAAGTACTTGGAAAGCGGAGATTAAGTAAAATAAATTGTACATTAAAGTTAAATTTATTATTAAATTATATGCTTTAATTAAATGGAGAAATGGCGACCACAATTTGGGATTCTGTGCCTCACGTTGACTTACCTAAAATATTTAACAAATCGTAATACAAACAATACCATGTGACGAGGGTTAGGACAATAACACGACACAATTTTAATTAAACCTGAACTAGAATGAGGGGAAGGCTTTTTGAGTGGAAAAGTTAGATACTCTTAAAGATCTTTTGTTTCTGTAGAGATTCGATGTTTTGGTTCTACATTCCATACCCCTTTCGTTCTCTGTATTCAATGAAAGCTTTGTGATATAATTATCCAAAAAACAAAAGCCCTTATCAGCAAAACTCAAAGCGCTCTATGGTGTAATGGAATCTTGGCCTTTTTTACGGAAGATTTTATACTGAAATGTAAACTCATACCCCCTGAAAGAGTACAATGAATGAACCACTCTACACCCTAAACTCAACTACCAGTTGGGTCTGGTCTCCCACTCATCCTTTTCGATTAGAAATTCAGTTATACAGTTGTGTAGGCTGTAGAGGAGAGTAGACCAAAGATCGTAAATATTCGGAACAAACTCAAATGCAATTTTGTGGCTACATTTTGGCCAACCCGATGGCCGCGCTGTCAACTCCGCTGTGCCGTTGATGTTTGTTTATCGGCAGCGCCTTTCATTAGTGGCCAACTTGATGGCTGACTGGCAGGAATGGCTGTCAGTATTATGTCATTTGTAGCCCACGCACTGACAGCGGCGAACTGTAATTCAATGAAGCCAGAAAAATAGCCTAGATTGCGATTCAAGTTCTCTCTCTCCTTGCCTACTCTTTTGTGATTGGCTCCGATCATGCAGTTTAAACTAGCTCCGTTCTAACTTTCTGATAAAACACACTGTACCATATCAGGTAAAAGCATCTAACATCTCCCATAAATAAAATTTCACCTCCTATCCTTACCACCACTGTGACCAATCCCCACCATTTCATTTCCCGTTTAATTGATTTCGATTTCGATCACAAACTCTCATTTCTATTCAAATTTTTTCCCCGCCATCGACTGCCCATCGGAAAAAAACTCTGACGATTGTCGGGAAGCCCATTTATCAGGCTGTGCAAAGTCACTGAATGAAACTTTTTTTCTGGTGAATGCAGTTTGGCGTACAATAATAGTTTTTCTATAGTTTTTTTCAACAGCAATAGCCCAGGGATATCCATGTATATGGGTGCTTCATGAACGCAATTCCGTTTGCGTGAGGCGGAGTGTTCTAGTCAGATATTTTTTGGCTTTCTGGGCCATGTAAATAACCTCTTTACAGTCGAGTAAATGATACGAGAAGTGTCTCGGGATAAGGCCTATTGGATCCATCACAATGAAATCAGCGAGAATGGTCAAAGTAACAGAAAGTGTTTTTACCCGGAAAAAAGGAAAAAGCCCCGCAACAAAAAGGAGCCGAAACACTCACAGACTAGCCCGACTAATAACATTATTGAGTAGAAATGGCAGACGTGAAAAAAATGGTCGAGCCCAATTTACTTGTGTATGTGTATGATTCTAGAGAGAGCTATACAGGCCGAGAAAAATAATCAAAATCAATTGTACTGCTTTTACTGCAATAAAGGGAAAACATTTGACCAGAACTTTGGGGCTTAGCAACGTTTCATTTTCTAATCGCTCGCTTTAATACGGTTTCAATTAGAAATGAAAACTAAACGGAAAATCAGGCCACAAAGGTTGCTAAGAGTAATCTTCTCATTGAAGCCCATTCCGCTGGGAATCTGTCAAATTAAAGTGAATTTAAGCAGGTTAAAGGTCAAGCCGACATTTACTGAAACAGCATCGGAGCTCCAAACCAGCTCAAGCTCCAGACCATGGCCAGCTTCAAAACAAGGCCCATTTAAATGCCAATGATGATAAGCGTTTAACCCCTTTATTGATGTGAAACTATCAAACTGACAGCATCACCGGAAAAAATGGAAATGTGTAAATTGGGGTAAAAATTAAGAAACGACAGCAAACACATGTAATTTATTTATGTACTATTTGAATCAGACGCCAGTGGAGCCAGTGTGCGGTTTATCATTGTCAGCTAGCGATCCTTTATATATGTAAATTTATTTGTATGGAAATAAATATATATCATACGGCCATAAATAACACAAACGCTTGTAAACTGTCTTGGTCTGCCCTTTTTGCCAGGAAATAATCCTGTTTCTTCTGCGTACTTTTGTTGTGACCATTCAAAGTTTAATTTTGAAAATTTTTAAATAGCTGTCTCATCGTGTTGTCAATCAATATTTCAATGAATAAATGCAGTACCCGTTCCTTAGGAAAGTTCCTTAGGGAAGTTTCAAATCAACTTAGCTTCACATTCTGGATTCTTAAAGTTCTGTTCAATATTTTCACGACTTCACACCAGTATTTTCGCCCGCACATTACCTGCTCAATTTAACTGCTCAAAAGTGCCATACAAATAATTTCATCCCAAGGCTCTTCCCTTCCTCATAGCCCTGCCTCCTTTATGATTGATGTAAGTCAGCCAGAAATTGATGTGATTCATATGGCTGCAAATTATCTCCGCATGATTGGTTAACCTTTCTCCTTTTGTCAATCACAGGCAGCTCTCCCACTCCCACGCAAAAAAATACTTTGAAAACTTAAATTTCATGATTTTATTTGCAATGATGTCTGTAATAAAGCGGTAGGCACTATAACAGTAATTAACACGCAATAGTAGTGTCAAAATAGTTTACAGCCGTGCTTTTTCTGCACTATAAACAATACCATTAATTAGGCACATATATAAGATGCGGCAGATAATTCAAATGTGTCAGGTGCGTTTGCTTTAAACTTTTAAGGGCTATAAACCAAATATATTAACCAATGTGTCTTCTAAAATTTATTTCAACTAGGAACATTGAATAAACAGTCCAATTCTAGAGGGCAAATCTTGGCTCGTAGATATATGTTTCCTTGTTCTTATTACAACTATCTCCACTACTTTATTATACCCGTTCTCAAAAAAGAGTTAAGGGGTATATTAGATTTGTGGTAAAAGCGGATGTGTACAACGCAGAGAAGGAAACATTTCCGACCCCATAAAGTATATATATTCTTGATCAGCATCAATAGCCGAGTCAATATAGCCATGTCCGTCTGTCCGTCCGTCCGTCTGTCCATCTTGATGAGCGCCTAGATCTGAGAGACTATAAGAGCTAGAGAAACCAAATTTGGTTTCCAGACTCATGTGATATCACACTGCTACAAATGAATTTCAAATTTAGCCCCCATCCGCCCTACAAACGAAAATCAAAAGGCACAGGATAAGAGATAAAATGCACATTTTGCCACGCAGGTCTGCTAACGAGGTTCCCAAGTAGCCTCGAGATTGAGCACAACTTATTCCGATGTTCAAGGAAAATAAACAGGTTAACTAACAGTTGGTTCTCAATCCGAATCCAGCAAGAGAATGGCAAATACTCAATAATCCTTCTCGCTCGCACCCTCTACCACGTGTCAGTGCGCGGATCCCTAGCGGAGGACTAAACTAGAATATAAATGGTACATGTCTACTGTATCTACATGTTAGATGTAAAAAATATACGACAAATATGTGACATTGTAGATAAGTACCAAAAGAATGTTAAATGTAAATTTTTTTTTTTCAAGTTTCTAATTTCGGACTGCCGCTATAATTTCTAGAAGAGTAATAAGCTCAAACGTCGCTATCTGACGCGTCGGGTCTGACAAGTCGCTTCTGGGGACTAACGTTGCTTCTCGTTTTCATTATATGTTATATGTTTCCAACACCAAAATCGTCACCAATTTCCATTCAGAATAATTGAAATGGAATTAAAATCTATTACATCCGTTTACCTTTCACACTGTTCCAAAATATTATCAGCCAATTGCAAATTTCGTTTAATTATAAATTAGTTTATAAAGTTAGCGTTGCTAAAATTAGAAGGAAATGTGATATTGCGAAATTAAACGCGTTTGGACGACACTTTTTCATTTCCAACAGAATCTGAAAAAGAAGGAACTAAAAACGAGATTCGGAGAACAGGTACAAATTATAAGCGGGTGTTTTGTTTTTGGCGCAAATGCACTGCCGATCTACAGGACCAGATCTGCTTAACATTGAAATATAGTCGCATTAGCCCATCTGAATTAATTAATTCATTTGAAGTGCCCGGTTTGCCCACTACTGCCTTACGACATGAGCAAATCAAAAAAACTAAGGTTCGTGTGGAAAAAGGAACACACTGCAACATATGTGAATATGAATACAATTTTATAAGAAAAGGAATAGGATAAAAGAAATTTAATATTTTAGCCACGAATTTACCCATGCCTTTCTTCAAAGTATCAAAATTTTTACTTAAGTACATCAACTTAGGTCCTGACTTTTTAAGGGAAATTCAACAGGTTATTAAGGCCTTACTTTTCAAGGGAAATTCATCGCATATTAAGGGCAAACTATATAGAGGGTGAATTCATAAAGCCTTTTTAGGGAAATCTCATCGCTTATTAAGGTCTGACTTTGGCGAATCTCGCTTAGGCTATGTCATCGATTAAACTCCTAGGACAACCCTGTGTTAAAGTAAACAGCCCACTTGTATGGCAGGTATGTTATGTCATCGAGCTATATACGGACATATATACGTACATAATATGTGCTACATTGTACATATGCACTGGTTCACGAGTAAGACGTGCGTGCGACAGGTCTCGACACGTCGACTACCCTTATTTCAAACATTCTGTTCCGCTGCACGATACAGAAATATCGTGGTCACGCTCGTATTCGTACTCGCATTTTCTCTTTTTCAAATGCGAATGTGCAAAGTATCAATTCCATATTGGCACGTCGCACTTTGAATACCCTATGCATTTTATATAATATGTATATATATATATACATTATATTATATTTTTATAATCTTTCCTAAAAGTAATTTATCATATGAAGGATACACGAAATACATAGACGAAACATATTTACATATACAAAACTTCTAAAACTGTAAGAGGAAAAGCTTTTTCGAAAATTCGACTACTCTAAAAAAGTAAAGGGTATGTGTGCAAAAAAGGCAAAATGAAATAGTAATAGAAAATACTGAGATCCGTTGCTGAACGTCTGAGTAAAAACAGAGTACAGCACGCAGCTGGCGAAATTCCGTGTTAAAGAGCAGACGAGAAGTATGTGGGACAGTGGGACATTCGGACTGTTCAGCTAGCAAAATTAATAAGTTCTGTATTTGAAAAGAAAATATTACAAAATGTAGTTAAGTATACGAGTACACGGTGCTAAGATAACGGGAAGCTTTATAATGCATTATCAAAGTCGAACTTTGATTCCGGTGCATATTTGCCTATGTATTTCGGCTGAGGCCCCACTGTGCGCTTGCTTGCAAATCCAGCCGAGGCTGGGCCGTCGTGTTGACGATCTCTCGCAGACAAATTTTGTTTTATTCGTTTAGTGCTTGTGAAAGAGATCGGATGTTTTTTTGGAAGTGCCTCGTTTTTTCGGTTGTGCAAAAGAAATATACAAAAGGTAAGTAAACTGTTGCCTTAAAATATCAATAGAACTGAGAACTGTTGAATAATAAACAGCTAAACCATAAACTATGGCAATTTCGCGAACAAAAATGTGTAAAAATGGATATCGACGATGAGTTACTTAGAAACCGCTTGAAATCTTTTGATTTAGACGAAATTTTCAACCGACTAAAAGGTAAATGTGTGACATGTACAAATGCTGCTGCTAACTAGCGTTTAAGTACATTTAAAAAATGTTCTCTGAAAAATAAGTCACCAAAAAAGTACAGCAATGCAATACGCTTGCGTTTTTTTTAGTTCTCGTTTCGCTTATGCTTTGCCTCTGACCGCGACCCCTCTCTCCAGCCATCCCCCACAACACGCGGCCGCCGTTCGTCAATGCCGTTACCAGCGACGAACCGAGCAGAAAATGTATGACAAAAAAGACAAGAAAGTACATGCATATTTCTGGGTTGTCTCGAGTTCGACTCAGAAATATGCATGTAGTTGTGTATGTGTGTACTCGCAAAATCAAAGCAATGTGTGTATAGTGGCTCCATAGTATAATCGGACACTTGTTTCCCCAGTACAAATGTGCTCAAAAAGTATACAGAAATGCGATAAAAATTGTTTTCTTTCACTTCTACTCTAACTTTAAAGTATTATCTATCTAAATCATAAACAAAAACTTATACTTTCTTTTGAGAATAATTAGTTTTAATCGAAAAATAAAAAAAAGTAATTTATTGAGACTCAAGTAAAAAGACTCACTAGAAAGTATAAGTTTTTGTTTATGATTAGATAGATAATACTATAAAGTTAGAGTAGAAGTGAACGAACAAAATTTTTGTCGCATTTCTGTATAATTTTTGAGCACATTTGTACTGGGGAAACAAGTGTCCGATTATACTATGGAGCCACTGTATGTAGTTGTTTTTGCTTTTTTGCGGCTCCTCGTCAAAGACAAAGACTCACAGCCACTGTAAACTGAATATGAATTTAATCCGGTTGAAATAACTTGGTATTATATAGTTTTGGCAATAGGCAGTGACATGACTTAATGTTTGGCTGACAGTGTGAACACATGTACAATTTGGAATTAAAAACTGCTTGTATATTTTAAAAAATTTAGAAACTGGAATAACGTATCGAAGTTTAAATTGTATATAGAGTGTTTAGAGTGAAATTATTCACTTGGAAAAAGCAAGAGGTACACTTATTTTTTTGTGTACATATTATATTATAATAAAATATATGTACATATTATAAGTAACAAGTAATTATAATTTTCTAATTTATTTTCCTTATTTGTACTTCAGTTTAATTTTGACGACGAAACATTGTCCGCTAATTCAAAAGTTGTATCTTGGATTGAAAAAAGTTCTCCTTCGAACTCGTTTTCAGCTGGTTTAATGGTAAGTGCTTAAAAAATTCTTTGTTTTATCCATATTTTTGTATTTAATTTTAATTGTTCGTTTTTAATTTTTTTTGTAAATAAAGGATGTTTTATCCATTTTACAAGGTTCTTCAAAAGGAAAAAGTTTTCTTGCCTACTATGAGAGTAAATCGGTGTTGCTCAATAGTCACAGAGAGATATTAATTTCTTTAATAGTTGAAGAAGCTAACTGCTGTTATATAAATCTTAAAACGTCGGATTATCCCTCAATAATTGAACAAATAGTTTCAATTTTTTCAACGGAATCAAACTCAAAAGTAAATTTCAAAATTAATTTATATTACAAACAAAAATTTTAATTATACCTGTTATCTATTTATTCAAATTTATAAGGAATTTTATTTTATTCCGCGGGCCCACGGAAGAACCCTGTTGGAAAATTATATTCGAAATATATTAACTCCAAAGCAAAGCGAGTAAAGCTCGACAAAATAGAGGAGGGTAACGAGCCTTCAGAGCCTCTTTCTAATGAAAAATATTTTGACGAGACTATTTCGATAGCATTCAAAACGAACCTTAAACACAAACATTTGATTTGCGTCGTAAGGACTTACAGAATTTTGACACTACAGAATTTCTAAAATAATGGCCAAAATATGCAGAAAGCCAAGCTCCAGATTTGGTGAAAGTCTTACTTATAAAAAACAATTTGTTTTTTTTTAGCTTTTTATACCCGTACTCAAAAAAGAGTTAAGGGGTATATTAGATTTGTGGTAAAAGTGGATGTGTGCAACGCAGAGAAGGAAACGTTTCCGACCCCATAAAGTATATATATTCTTGATCAGCATCAATAGCCGAGTCTATATAGCCATGTCCGTCTGTCCGTCCGTCTGTCCGTCTGTCCGTCCGTCCGTCTTGATGAGCGCCTGGATCTTAGAGACTATAAGAGCTAGAGAAACCAAATTTGGTTTCCAGACTCATGTGATATCACACTGCTACAAGTGTATTTCAAAATTTCGCCCCGCCCCCTTCCGCCCACACAGTAGTACGCACACGCAGTATCGTAGAGAATGCCCATATCTACCAGATTGCCGAATCTGAATTAGATCGGATCATAATTATAGCCAGAATGAAGAAATTAATTTTCAGTTGCTTCCCCTCCCCCTCCCGTACCAGACAACGCAACTCATTTTCCTTCTCGCTCGCACACTCTGCCGCGTTCAGTGCGCGAGCAACCCCTAGCGGAGGAGATGTAGAATCTAAATGGTACATGTACAATCTACATGTTAGATGTAGAATAGACATAGTAGATGAGATGTAGATAACAAATGTAGCAAAAAAATGTAAAATGTAACATTTTTTTTTAATTCTAAAATTCTAAAATATCATGCTCAAAAATGTATATACTGACTGAGTACGGGTATAAGTAGAGTCGCGTCCCCAGAAGCGACTCACACGTTCCTTCTCGTTGATTTGTTATTTTATGCATAATATGTTCTCTATTTAATTTTCTCAGATTTAAGTAGACTTTGACCTCCTATATCCTGAAAAGGGACTTTATTTGTCTCAAAAATGGGATACTTTCAAATCTAAGATTTCGAAATATTATTCTTTAAATATTCGGACGAGAATGTATTCTCGGAATCAATCGGTACATAAAACATATTAGTCCGGATGTAAGGAAAAATAACAGAATTTCTGAAATATACTCTCTTTACAGATTCATCCGACTACATTCTGGGAGTTCTGCTACCCTCCGTCTTACCATCAGCGTTGTGGTATAAATCAAAATCTGGAAACAGGAAAAAAAACCTTTGGTGGAATCACAGGAATACTTTATTTTAAGATTAAGTTCAATTAATGACTTAAATCGTAAAATTTCTGAACTCATTTCTACAAATTTTGAGAATAATTTCACTCTTCAATCATTTATAATAGTGGAAGGTATAAGCTGTACTTGCCTCAACTCATTCTTTGTCTATTTTGATCAAACTTTGTACAAACAAGATTCAGTAATTGGTTGCATAGAGATATGTTTTAAAATTTTCAATACATTGAATCTAAAATATCCTGCAGCCGCCCAATTACCATGGGTTTTCATGCAAGAATTTTTTTACTATATTCATACGCCTTGTGATGTAAAATCACCAAACTTAAGAGCACTTCTAAATTTTATGAATGAATAAGTTTCAAATTATGTCAGACAACAATAGTTTTCCATGTTTTAGATGCGGAAAGGTTGAAGAATCGCCTAAGTTGTTAATTAATCACTTAAAGTTTATGCATTTGATTACCAAAAATTACACGTTACAATGCAAAGTTAACAATTGTAATCAATCATTTGATCAATCATATGACAAGATTCCACACAATTGAAAATGTTCCTTTTCCTGTAGTCAAAAAGTAAAAGAAGCTAATATAAGCGCAGAAATTATTCAAAACATTTCAAAAGAAGAGGATTATCTTTCTATAGATATACAAAAATTTGTTAACATTTTTAAAAAGCAAGCACTGCAGTTATCAGTTCGCCTTCATTCTGAAACTTATATGCCTAGAAGTGAAGTTTATGAGATCCAGAAAATGGTTTCAAATCTCCTTTTTTCTATTTCAAACGCTCTTAATAATTTAATTAGTTCCTCATCACTAAATTTACGAGACGATTTAAAATGCATTTCTAACTTTTGCTCTGAGCCTTTCAGCCAAATAAATACTGAGCATCGCCTGTTTAAAATTTTAAAAGAAATGAAACTATTTGAAGATCCTCAGGCATTTATTGTGTCTAATGCGGTTGTACCAAGAGTTAGAAGTGGAAATATGTAATTTTTCCGAAAAAACTTGATATTCATTTATTATCTGTCTAATTTCAAATAAAATCGTTATTTGAGCTTCCAAATCTTTTAAATCTTACTCTTCATAATCAAAAGGAGCTTACAAAAAACAAATCATTTGTAAATTTCGTTAATACAGAAACTTTTTCTATGAAGACACAAAATTTTCGTCCCGATGATATAGTTATTCCATACTATTTGTAGTTCGATGATTTTCAAATCAATAATGCTTTAGGAACTCATGTGTCCTCAATCTGTGGAATATACTACACCTTTTAAACTTTACCGCAGTACTTACTTTCAAAGTTAAACTTTACCTCATTACCTCATTTTGTGCGACAATTTAGGCTTAAATTCCTTATTAGGCTTTGTAAAGTCCTTTAATTCTATGCGATACTGTAGAGTTTGTAATAGAACTAAATTGGAAATGAAATGCGATGTTTCAGAACAAATTGAGCATTTAAGAACTAAAGAGTCATACAGAAAAGATTTGGATGGAAACAATTGTTTGGAGACAGGAGTTATAAGAGACAGTATTTTTAATGCGTTGAATAACTTTCATGGCATAGACAACTTTTATTTCGATTTAATGCACGATGTTTTGGAAGGAGTCTGCGTTTATGATATTTTTAATATTTTGCTTGCTTTGATAAAAAATAAAACCTTCTAGACGAAACCCCCCTTGGTGAACTTGAAGTTGGTAATACATGAATTAAAATAGAACTGAACAGATTAAAACAAAGAAAATTGAAAATGAGTGCCAGTGAAACATTTTGCTTCACAAAATTCCTACCCTTAATGATAATAGTTTAATAGTAAATTTAGTTTATCTGATATAAATGAGTTGAAAATCAAGATAAGATCTCATCATAAATTATACGTTTCGGACCAACATTAAAGCCAAAACATCATTTCATGGTCCACTACCCGACTGCAATATTAAAATGTAGTCCATTGAAATACTGCCAAGCATAAAGCCAAGCCAAGCATAAAGAAGCTAAGTCTTATATGAACTCAATAATCTGTAGAATTAATCCAGCACGATCATTGTCAATCAAATCTTCTCTAAAGTATTCGAACTTCTTAATCTTAAATGAAAATGGTATACCTCCAATATTTGATAAATACGATTTTAAGAGTGTTGCTGTAAGCACCATCGAATGTTGGAAACTGTAGATCATAAAATTAAAAATGACAAAATTGATATAAGTGAGAAAATTGACATATAAAGGGACTATATACAAGAAAAATTATTTTTAAGCATGTAAAATTAACACCATATTAATGGTATTTAAATCAATCTTATATTTTACTGAAAATGACGAAATATGTGTGATTTTTTGCGAAATGGATGGTTATAAATATGACCCACATTATCAAGCTTATGAAATAAGAAATCCCAAATTTAATTCTAATCTAATCGTTAATATTGCAGAATTTACAACATATCCAATGCATTTATATACTCAAAGCAACTCTAAAAACTATTTAATTTATAACACCCTATGAATAAATTTTAAGATTCTCATGTATATGTAATAAATAATTAAACAAATATAAAACGTACAATGGAAAATTATTATTTTTGTTGGAAAAAACATTTAGGATGTATGAAAACATATAATAAATATGAATCATATTGAAATTAAATATGAATCATATTGATATTAAATATGAATAATATTTAAATTAAATATGAAATATATTCAATTTTAGTATGTAAAATATTTGATTCAAATATGAAATATATTTAAATTAAATATGTAAACTATTTAATTCAAATATAAACTATATTCAATTTAAATATGAACCATATTTAAATTTACTATGAGATATATTTATTTCAATATGCAATATATTCGATTTTAATATGAAATTTGTTTAAATTCAATATGAAATATATTCAAATTCAATATGAGAAATATTTAAATTAAATATGAAACATATTAAATTTAAAAATTAAAAATATTAAATTTAAATATGAAATATATTAAATTTAAAAATGAAAAATATTAAATTTAAATATGAAACATAATAAATTTAAATATGAAACATATTAAATTTAAATATGAAACATATTAAATTTAAATACGAAGCATTTTAAATTTAAAAATGAAAAATATTAAATTTAAATATGAAATATATTGAATTTAAATATCAAACATATTAAATTTAAATATTTCCATATTAATATCCAAATTTAAGTGAAAAATATTCAATTTTAATAAAACCGTTCTTGGATGAAAATCAATGGCATAAATATTAAAATCTAAGTGAAAATATTAAAATTTCAGGGCTTTTTTCTATCGGTGTAGTACCAGGTATAATTATAATTAGCATAATTTTACAACTGCCTTGAGCACTACCACAAAAATTTAAGAGAGCATCTGTGTGCCTCGCTCTACGACTAGATGGATGCTTGTAGAAGACATCAAACTGCGTTTGAAGCTTTTCGCCCTTCTTCGCTTCTATGGTCCTAGTCATGTGGAAATGTCTCTTTTCTGTACACGCGTTGGGTTTTCTTCCTTCGCTATAGCAGCCGCCCTGCCACGTCAGAGGTGCAAGTTTTCGGAGCTAAAACTTTGTCGTTTGGCAGAGACAAAAAGTTAATGCCTGTCCGCTTAACGCATGTCTTGGGTGATTTTAATGAGCTTTTCCTTGAGCCCAAGAGAACCAAAGTTCTGAATATAATTAGTACGGGGCTGCATGCTTAGAATAGCGAGGCATGAATAGCGGCAGTGAAGAATTTAGAGTGCAAATAGTAGTCGCCACTTTCAAAATATTTGACAAATATTCAGGCTTTGATGATAAGTAAACTCTCACATTTTATACGGCTAAGGTAGAGAACCCTCTAAAGATACCATCTAGCCATATCATATCATAAAGCTTTCTTATTAACATCATTTAGATAATCTAGCGCTGAGAGAGAAGCCTGGTTCCCGAAAAGTGTTCGACAAGTTGCCGACCAAAATTAACAAGTGCCGTCGCGCCGCCAAGGATGATTATGAATTAATGAAGCCCCATAACAAGGCAATCGTTGTCTAATAGCAGAAGCCTCGACCAAGTTTGTTTCGCCTGCACTGGAACGTGGCGAAAAGTTTAGTTTATGTACACCGATAGAAAAAAGCCCTGAAATTTTAATATTTTCACTTAGATTTTAATATTTATGCCATTGATTTTCATCCGGTTGTATTAAAATTGAATATTTTTCATTTAAATTTTGATATTAATATGGAAATATTTAAATTTAAAATATTTGATATTTAAATTTAAAATATTTTTTATATTTAAATTTAATATTTTTCATTTTTGAATTTAAAATGTTTCATATTTAAATTTAATATGTTTCATACTTAAATTTAATATATTTCATATTTAAATTTAATATGTTTCATATTTAAATTTAATATGTTTCATATTTAAATTTAATATGTTTCATATTTTAATTTAATATTTTTCATATTTAAATCTAATATGTTTCATATTTAAATTTATTATGTTTCATATATAAATTTAATATTTTTCATTTTTAAATTTAATATATTTCATATTTAAATTTAATATTTTTCATTTTTAAATTTAATATGTTTCATATTTAATTTAAATATTTCTCATATTGAATTTGAATATATTTCATATTGAATTTAAACAAATTTCATATTAAAATCGAATATATTGCATATTGAAATAAATATATCTCATAGTAAATTTAAATATGGTTCATATTTAAATTGAATATAGTTTATATTTGAATTAAATAGTTTACATATTTAATTTAAATATATTTCATATTTGAATCAAATATTTTACATACTAAAATTGAATATATTTCACATTTAATTTAAATATTATTCATATTTAATATCAATATGATTCATATTTAATTTCAATATGATTCATATTTATTATATGTTTTCATACATCCTAAATGTTTTTTCCAACAAAAATAATAGTTTTCCATTGTACGTTTTATATTTGTTTAATTATTTATTACATATACATGAGAATCTTAAAATTTATTCATAGGGTGTTATAAATTAAATAGTTTTTAGAGTTGCTTTGAGTATATAAATGCATTGGATATGTTGTAAATTCTGCAATATTAACGATTAGATTAGAATTAAATTTTGGATTTCTATTTCATAAGCTTGATAATGTGGGTCATATTTATAACCATCCATTTCGCAAAAAATCACACATATTTCGTAATTTTCAGTAAAATATAAGATTGATTTAAATACCTTTAATATGGTGTTAATTGTACATGCTAAAAAAAAATATCTTTTTTGTATATAGTCCCTTTATATTCAATTTTCTCACTTATATTAATTTTTTCATTTTTTATTTTGTGATCTACAGTTTTCAAACATTCGATGGTGCTTACAGCAACACTCTTAAAATCGTATTTATCAAATATTGGAGGTATACCATTTTCATTTAAGATTAAGAAGTTCGAATACTTTAGAGAAGATTTGATTGACAATGATCGTGCTGGATTAATTCTACAGGTTATTGAGTTCATATAAGATTTAGCTTCTTTATGCTTGGCTTCGAAGCGCATTACCCAACAGTATTTCAATATACCACATTTTAATATTGCAGTCGGGTAGTGGACCATGAAATGATGTTTTGGCTTTAATGTTGGTCCGAAAAGCTTAACGTATAAATATGATGAGATCTTATCTTGATTTTCAACTCATTTATATCAGATAAACTAAATTTACTATTAAACAGAATGTAAATTATTTCTAAAAGGTTTATTAATAGCATCCTATACTTGTTATTTTGAGGAACTAAGTCTCCTATCACTAAGGGTAGGAATTTTGTGAAGCAAAATGTTTCACTGGCAGTCTTTTCAATTTTCTTTGTTTTAATCTGTTCAGTTCTATTTTAATTGATGTATTACCAACTTCAAGTTCACCAAAGCAAGCAAAATATTATAAATATCATAAATATCAGACTCCTTCCAAAACATCGTGCATTAAATCAAAATAAAAGTTGTCTATGACATGAAAGTTATTCAACTCATTAAAAATACTGTCTCTTATAACTCCTGTCTCCAAACAATTGTTTTCATCCAAATCTTTTCTGTATGACTCTTTAGTTCTTAAATGCTCAATTTGTTCTGAAACATCGCATTTCATTTCCAATTTAGTTCTATTACAAACTCTACAGTATCGCATAGAATTAAAGGACTTTACAAAGCCTAATAAGGAATTTAAGCCTAAATTGTCGCCCAAAATGAGGCCCAAGACAAAATTAACAGTTTTTTTCCCATATTTTGTTTGAATTTAAACTCCGGTTTCTAACGCTTTTAGCGCACGAAAAATATGTTAAAAAACTACTTCATGATCAAAATTTTTGATTACGTGCGATGGAAAAAAATAAACGGAAAAATAAAGTTTAGCCTTGAAAGTAAGTACTGCGGTAAAGTTTTAAAGGTGTAGTATATTCCACAGATTGAGGAAACATGAGTTCCTAAAGCATTATTGATTTGAAAATCATCGAAATACAAATAGATTGGAATAACTATATCATCGGGACGAAAATTTTGTGTCTTAATAGAAAAAGTTTCTGTATTAACGAAATTTACAAATGATTTGTTTTTTGTAAGCTCCTTTTGATTATGAAGAGTAAGATTTAAAAGATTTGGAAGCTCAAATAACGATTTTATTTGAAATTTGACAGATAATAAATGAATATCAAGCTTTTTCGGAAAAAATGACATATTTCCACTTCTAACTCTTGGTACAACCGCATTAGACACAATAAATGCCTGAGGATCTTCAAATAGTTTCATTTCTTTTAAAATTTCGAACAGGGGATGCTCAGTATTTATTTGGCTGAAAGGCTCAGAGCCAAAAGTTAGAAAAGCATTTTAAGCCGTCTTGTAAATTTTGTGATGAGGAACTAATTAAATTATTAAGAGCGTTTGAAATAGAAAAAAAGAGATTTGAAACCATTGTCTGGATCTCATAGACTTCACTTGTAGGCATATAAGTTTCAGAATGAAGGCGAACTAATAACTGCGGTGCTTGCTTTTTAAAAATGTCAACAAATTTTTGTATATCTATAGAAAGATAATCCTCTTCTTTTGAAATGTTTTGAATAATTTCTGCGCTTTTTAATCTTATATTAGCTTCTTTTACTTTTTGACTACAGGAAAAGGAACATTTTCAATTGTGTGGAATCTTGTCATATGACGCTTAAATGAAAATAAAAGATCAAATGATTGATTACAATTGTTAACTTTGCATTGTAACGTGTAATTTTTGGTAATCAAATGCATAAACTTTAAGTGATTAATTAACAACTTAGGCGATTCTTCAACCTTTCCGCATCTAAAACATGGAAAACTATTGTTGTCTGACATAATTTGAAACTTATTCATTCATAAAATTTAGAAGTGCTCTTAAGTTTGGCGATTTTACATCATAAGGCGTATGAATATAGTAAAAAAATTCTTGCATGAAAACCCATGGTAATTGGGCGGCTGCAGGATATTTTAGATTCAATGTATTGAAAATTTTAAAACATATCTCTATGCAACCAATTACTGAATCTTGTTTGTACAAAGTTTGATCAAAATAGACAAAGAATGAGTTGAGGCAAGCTTATACCTTCCACTATTATAAATGATTGAAGAGTGAAATTATTCTCAAAATTTGTAGAAATGAGTTCAGAAATTTTACGATTTAAGTCATTAATTGAACTTAATCTTAAAATAAAGCATTCCTGTGATTCCACCAAAGTTATTTTTTTCCTGTTCCCAGATTTTGGTTTATACCACAACGCTGATGGTAAGACGGAGGAGACGTAGCAGAACTCCCAGAATGTAGTCGGATGAATCTTTAAAGAGAGGACATTTTAGAAATTCTGTTATTTTTCCTTACATCAAGACTAATATATTTTATTTACCGATTGATTCCGAGAAAGGCAGCTTTGCAAATAAGCCTTTGCAATTTTCGTTCCGAATATTTAAAGAATAATATTTCGAAATCTTAGATTTGAAAGTATCCCATTTTTGAGACAAAAAAAGTCCCTTTTCAGGATATAGGAGGTCAAAGTCTACTTGAATCTGAGAAAATTAAATAGATAACATATTATGCATAAAATAACAAATCAAAAAGCTAAAAAAATAAACAAATTGTTTTTTATAAGTAAGACTCTCACCAAATCTGGAGCTTGGCTTTCTGCATATTTTGGCATTGTTTTAGAAATTCTGTAGTGTCCAAATTCTGTAAGTCCTTACGACGCAAATCAAATGTTTGTGACCATTTTTCAACGACTACATTCCAATCTGAAATGTCTCTCTTAAGGTGCGTTTTGAATGCTATTGAAATAGTCTCGTCAAAATATTTTTCATTAGAAAGAGGCTCTGAAGGCTCGTTTCCCTCCTCTATTTTGTCGTGCTTTACTCGCTTTGCTTTGGAGTTAATATATTTCGAATATAATTTTCCACCAGGGTTCTTCCGTGGGCCCCGTGGAATAAAATAAAATTCCTTATAAATTTGAATAAATAGATAACAGGTATAATTATAATTTTAGTTTGTAATATAAATTAATTTCGAAATTAACTTTTGAGTTTGATTCCGTTGGGAAAAATTGAAACTATTTGTTCAATTATTGAGGGATAATCCGACGTTTTAAGGTTTATATAACAGCACTTAGCTTCTTCAACTATTAAAGAAATTAATATCTCTCTGTGACTATTGAGCAGAACCGATTTGCTCTCATAGTAGGCAAGCAAACTTTTTCCTTTTGAAGAACCCTGTAAAATGGATAAAACATCTTTTATTTAAAAAAAAAATTAAAAAGAACGAACAGGAACGAAAATTAAATACAAAAATATGGTTAAAACAAAGAATTTTATAAACACTTACCATTAAACCAGCTGAAAACGAGTTCGAAGGAGAACTTTTTTCAATCCAAGATACAACTTTTGAATTAGCGGACAATGTTTCGTCGTCAAAATTAAACTGAAGTACAAATAAGGAAAATAAATTAGCAGATTATAATTACTTATGTAATATATGTAAATCATAAACAAAAACTTATACTTTCTAGTGAGTCTTTTTACTTGAGTCTCAATAAATTACTTTTCTTTGTTTTTCGATTAAAACTAATTATTCTCAAAAGAAAGTATAAGTTTTTGTTTATGATTTAGATAGATAATACTTTAAAGTTAGAGTAGAAGCAGAGTAGAGTAGAAACAAATATTTATCGCATTTCTGTATATGTTTTGAGCACATTTTGTACTGGGGAAACAAGTGTCCGATTATACTATGGAGCCACTATACACATTGCTTTGATTTTGCGAGTACACACATACACAACTACATGCATATTTCTGAGTCGAACTCGAGACAACCCAGAAATATGCATGTACTTTCTTGTCTTTTTTGTCATCCATTTTCTGCTCGGTTCGTCGCTGGTAACGGCATTGACGAACGGCGGCCGCGTGTTGTGGGGGATGGCTGTAGAGAGGGGTCGCGGTCAGAGGCAAAGCATAAGCGAAACGAGAACTAAAAAAAACGCGCGCGTATTGCATTGCTGTACTTTTTGGTGACTGATTTTTGAGAGAACATTTTTTAAATGTAGTTAAACGCCAGATAGCAGCAGCATATGTACATGTCACACATTTATGTACCTTTCAGTCGGTTGAAAATTTCGTCTAAATCAAAAGATTTCAAGAGGTTTCTAAGTAACTCATCGTCGATATCCATTTTTACACTTTTTAATGTTTCTTCTGCTGCTCACTGAAAACTACACAAAAAAATGTATATGTATATTTATAAATCATAATAAAAAGCAAATTTTTGTTCGCGAAATTGCCATAGTTTATGGTTTAGCTGTTTATTATTCAACAGTTCTCAGTTCTATTGATATTTTAAGGCAACAGTTTACTTACCTTTTGTATATTTCTTTTGCACAACCGAAAAAACGAGGCACTTCCAAAAAAACATCCGATCTCTTTCACAAGCACTAAACGAATAAAACAAAATTTGTCTGCGAGAGATCGTCAACACGACGGCCCAGCCTCGGCTGGATTTGCAAGCAAGCGCACAGTGGGGCCTCAGCCGAAATACATAGGCAAATATGCACCGGAATCAAAGTTCGACTTTGATAATGCATTGTAAAGCTTCCCGTTATCTTAGCACCGTGTACTCGTATACTTAACTACATTTTGTAATATTTTCTTTTCAAATACAGAACTTATTAATTTTGCTAGCTGAACAGTCCGAATGTCCCACTGTCCCACATACTTCTCGTCTGCTCTTTAACACGGAATTTCGCCAGCTGCGTGCTGTAATCTGCTTTTACTCAGACGTTCGGCAACGGATCTCAGTATTTTCTATTACTATTTCATATAGCCTTTTTTGCACACATACCCTTTCCTTTTTTAGAGTAGTCGAATTTTCGAAAAAGCTTTTCCTCTTACAGTTTTAGAAGTTTTGTATATGTACATATGTTTCGTTTATGTATTTCGTGTATCCTTCATATGATAAATTACTTTTAGGAAAGACTATAAAATATAATATAATTATATATATATATAAATATATATATATATATATATATATATTATATAAAATGCATAGGGTATTCAAGGTGCGACGTGCCAATATGGAATTGATACTTTGCACATTCGTATTTGAAACGAGAAGGAACGTGTGAGTCGCTTCTGGGGACGCGACTCTACTTATACCCGTACTCAGTCAGTATATACATTTTTGAGCATATGATTTTTTAGAATTAAAAATTTTACATTTTAAATTTGTTTGCTACATCTGTTAGCTACATCTACATCTTCAATGTATATTCCACATCTAACATGTAGATTGTACATGTACCATTTATATTCTACATCTCCTCCGCTAGGGGTTGCTCGCGCACTGAACGCGGCAGAGTGTGCGAGCGAGAAAGAGAATCAGTAGCGTCAGCAGCGCTGGAGAAGGAGAGGGAACCAACAGAAAATTCATTTCTTCATTCTGGCTATAATTATGATCCGATCTGATTCAGATTGGGCAATCTGGTAGATATGGTTATTTTCTACGATACTGCGTTTTTAGTTTTATCGTATCTTTAAAATTGTGCCTGCCACAGATTTTTGTTCTTTATGGTGGCGGAAGGGGGCGGGGCGAAATTTTGAAATACACTTGTAGCAGTGTGATATTACATGAGTCTGGAAACAAAATTTGGTTGCTCTAGATATCACCAAAAATAAATAAACAAATAGTTAACCGAAATACAAAACATATTTAATTTCATATAATATCGAGTATTGAAAATAAAAAGATTTTGTCATTGATTTCAAAATGAATATTTATAAAATAAGTTATAATAGTATTCAATATAAATATGAAACATATTAAACTACAAATGTAATATATAATATTTGTTTTTAAAGTTTATACCTTTGATTTCAAAATAAATATTTTCAAATTAAATCACAATAATATTCAATATTAATATGAAACATATTAAACTACAAATTTAATATATTATATTTACTTTAAAGTGTTTTGTATTAAGATTAAATATGACCGTATTTAAAAAGCCATTTTAATACAATTATATTTGTATTAAAGGGAATTCTATTTAATTTTACTATGTTTGTATATAAAAATCGCATTTTAAATTCAAATATGATTGTAGTTATTTTTACTATGCCTTTTTTCTATCAGTGTATGTGACAGGAAGAAGGAAGTCGATAAAGTGTAACTTGTAATTCTAATTCGGTATAAATAACTATCGATACAAATTCAGCGATTGCAACATCGAATTATTTATAGTATGTTAAGTCTGATGAACAATTCTTCAAAGTTATGGATACCAAATGAGCTCTGAATATACAATATAAAATTTATATCTTGTACAAATATATATACCCTCACGAGTATATACTCTTGAATCCCTGTTTTATACATTGAGTACCAGGTGCAACATTTTGTTTACATTGTAGATGTAGATAACAGATGTAGCAAAAAAAATGAAAAATGTAAATATTTTTTTTTAGTTTTAAAATTCTAAATAATTATAAGCTTAACAATGAATATACTGACTGAGTACGGGTATAAGTAGAGTCGCGTCCCCAGAAGCGACTCACACGTTCCTTCTCGTTTTCTTTCCCATTCCAGTTTGTTTGTGTAGAATGTTTGTAGTTATGCATTTTGCTGTTTTCGGAGTTAAGCTCCTTTTAGAGTCAAGGGATTCTATATTTAAGTTAATGTAGTAGGGGTCGAGACACGGTCGAACAAACCCTCCCCCCAAGTTACCGAAAGAGCACGGAACCTTTGAATCCCGACCGGCAGAGCCTCGATAGCCGAAGCTCCTACTTGTGCTAGGGCTACTGTACTAGTAATGTTGCATAAATTTGGCTAATAGTACGAGTATGTTTAAGCCTAGAAGCTGATCGTAAATTGTACTCCTTCAGCAGCTCGTTATTCGAAATGGCTTTGACAGCTAAAGGCTTCCTTTATTTTAAATTATAACAAATGTAAAACAAAATATCTGGGGCAACGATTGAGGAAGCTAAGCCTTATGGGCCTTGTGCTTCTCCTGCCTCCTGCTTACAAGTGGCTGTAAAACGCTGCTTGGGTTTTTGTTGGTCTCCATCTCCTTGTTTGGCAGCGTAGTGCTCTCGGTAGTACTTGAATGTTTCAAATCGAACTATTTTTAGCTCATCCTTGGTTAGAAAAGAATCCGTACCGTCATTGGAGCTGATCTCGCTCCGGATGACCACGATGGTCAGCAGCACGAAGATCACGTCCAGCGCAGCCAGCATTATGCTGGCTGTCCGATCGGTGCAGTACTCATTCCAGCGCCAGTTTCCGGTGGCCGGGATCCATAACAGGTTGGCGAACGGAACTATCGGGAGCAGGAAGCCCCAAAGAATTGCGCGTTCCACGGCCCCACCCGAAGTGCTTCGCATGGCGGCACTGGCCACAGCGATGCCTGAGAGGGCATATATGATTGTGCAAGATATCTTGAAGATGGCTTCGTAGGAGCTGACCATGGTGTAGTGGTTTAAGTCCATTGGCAAATAGGGACAAAATTCTGCTGTGGCGACGGCAGTAGCCAGCGAGAGGACGAATCCAACCAGCTTCATGCCCATCACGCGGCCGCTGGTGGCGAGGATAATGGACCAAAAGAGTGGCCACAGCAGCAGGCAGCTGGACAGCAGCAGCGCAGCCTTCTCCCACAGGCAGGCACAGGAGACCAGAGCGCTGGTCAGCAGCACCAGTCCCATATCGATAATTGCTAGCTTGTGACGCAATAGACGCATCTGACGCGTCACCTGTGCCATGAGGAACTGCTTCTGGCTGTCGTCCAGCTCCACCCTGCCCTGAGACTGTTTGGAGGAATTACTACTCGTGGATTTTGTTTTCTTCCTTGCCTTTGTGGTCGTCTTGATCTTGTTGGTCGCCGTGATCATCAGTTGATTGTCCCTCTCGTCGATGGAAGCCAGCAGTGCCTCAACATCCTTTTCCTTCGACTTCAACACCTTCTCGACCCGCACTTCAGTCACCTGCGAGCCTCGCTTGTCAGAGAGTGTCGCTGGGAGCACAGCCTGGAAGGGCTGCTCCTCGACGTTCGGTTCCATCTTGTTCATGTGCTCGGGATAGTAGGAAAGAATCTAAATAAGTCTAGTGCTAGGCTCTAGGCGTCAGGGGTTCCTTGGATCGAATGAAATGTGGGAGTTCTCCAGCCCCCAGACATTTATAAAAATTCCGACCAAACGATGCCCGGAAGCAAGTGCCATCGATGGGATTTTGGATACTTGATGGCCAGCCGTCCAGCAGGGTCGCCCCAAGCAGAGGCAATCCCCCAAAGTGTCATAAATGATAACTGGCAATCGATGACTCGGTGAACATAAATCACTATAAGAGTAAGGGTAGTAGCATTGGGCATTTGGATCCCACATTAAACACACTTCACTGTTCGACCTTCACTTTGCAATGATATCTGTAATAAAGGGGCAGACACTTAATTATACAGTCATTTATACGCAATAGTAGTGTCAAATAAATTTACAGCCGTGTTTTTGCTGCAGCATAAACAATACTATTAATGAGGCACATATATATGATGCGCCAGATAATTAAATGTGTCAGGGCATTAGTTAAGAAAATAAATAAAATTAAAATGGTGCGTTTGCTTTTAACTTTTAAAGGATATAAGCCAAATATATTAATCAATGTTTCTTCTATAATTTATTTCAACTAGGAACACTAAATAAAGATTCCAATTCTAGAGGGCCAATTTTCTCTTTACTCGTAGATATATGTTTCCTTGTTCTTTTTACAACTATCTCCACTACTTTACTTTCATTATATGTTATATGTTTCCAACACCAAAATCGTCACCAATTTCCATTCAGAATAATTTAAATGAAATTACAATCTATTACATCCGTTTACCTTTCACAATTGTTCCAATACATTTCGCAATTGCAAATTACGTTTCCGTATAAATTACTTATAAAATTAACGTTGCCTATTTAAAATGCAATTTAATTCATCGCAAGGATAATGACAGAGCACCGACACACGCACTTCCTCTCCCACAGATAGTCCTGAAAGTACGGCGCTCGGTACCAATGTCGTGTCCAAGGCCCAAGGCCCGTACAGGACCAGATCTGCTGAACGTTGAAGAGAGAGTCGCATTGCAATTGAATTAATTAATTTTTAAATGCTTCCCCGGTTTGTCCACTTTCTTCTTACATGCAAATTTATTGGTTTTTGCTCGTGTGGAACAGGTACACAAACATATTGAATAAAAATACATAATAAAAGGAATAGGATAAGAAAAAGGAATTGCACATTTTGTTACGCAGGTCTGCTAACGGGGTGACCAAGTAGCCTCGAGATTGAGCACATCTTATTCTGATGTTCAAGGAAAATAAACAGGTTACCGAGACGTCACTGAATGAAAGCGGTATCGTTCTCTGGGATAACAAACCAAATGGATTCCCAAAGTGA